GKWWKGKWMYTTTWWAAATGTCTCAAGTGCAATATTTCAGCTTTACAAGTGTGYTCWTTGGATTAATTGTRCAAAACAGCCACCTGCCTTAAGCTGTGTTCCTTGAATTACGAGTCATTCACATTGTTCGCAAACAACAGTTATCAGAAAGTGTATCCTAATAGAATAATTACGAAATGTCACTTTTTCAAGTTTTTAAGCAAAGAAACTGAAGGRTGGATGGCCWTTTTTAAGGAGTTTGAGGAGCAATTATCTTATTGGCGACTTTCCATCAAAGGMTTGAAAGRGTTTATCTATTTTGGGAGAAACCTTCTTGAACTCAGTGAAGTTCACTCTCTTACGTATACAGACAGCACTGAAGTAGTAATATCGAAATAAAGAAAAAGCCTGCGTTATTACCTGATTTCACTCAATCCGTTCACCGAAAAGCGTTCATCTGAATTATGATTTGCATTGTAGTGTATTAAATTTAAATCTGTTTCTTCCTTTTGTCAAATTGTATTCTAATCATTTTGAAATTTTGCCAAATCTCTTTTATCATGGTTTGTACCAGTGCTATCGCAGATATAAACCTTAAATTCTTCGGTCGTTACACGGTCTCGAGACATCGAGTGATCAAAATGGAGATGACATATCTTCCCAAGAACATAGCCGACGTTTAAATATCGTCCATATATTGATCATCGGTGTGAGATATATGTCATGAGTTCAGCCCTTTCCTGAAGAAATATTTTGTAGTTTACTCTCTATTATTGAGCTAGTTGAACACCAATCTTTCATTTTCATTTTGTGATTATATAATAGTACAATCACGTCATAAAACGTCGCAAAATAACGACAAATAAAGCACAATGAATCCCTTGTACTTTAAATCAAGCTTTTTGGACATCATGCCTGATACTCATGTAWTTTTTTTTTTTAATCTACCACCAGCTTCGTGTTGGAAGGTTAGGTGATTAATCTCCTTAATTAGTATGCATAAAGGAAAACTGTGACGCGCAACACCTTTAATGCTCTTTAGGGACTTAGGGCAATAAGCATACGCACTTGAGTAGTGTCCTAGGGTAACTTTTGCCAGATAGACGGGCTCCAACCGAGCCAAAACGCGTGGTATATGATASTTACCGAAACTAAGAAAGCTCCSAAGTTAATGTCAAACAATCAAATTATTTTCACAAATATATTGCAGCGTACCACACAAATTCTAATAGAAATAGCGGTTTAGTGATAGATTATATTTAGTTTTAAAGTACAAAATGGCCTAGTTTCAGTCTTTGCAATGTCAGTGCTTAATGGTATCACTAATTATTAAAAATCCATTTACTTCTTACATTAAAAACGAAATCTAAAGRGAAAACTAATCGTTTGCTTAGCAGRCACCTGCAAATGCACTCTATTTACCATCGCTTCCTAAAAAGAGAAGTAAACTTAACCTTTATTTATACATCTCTGTGCCRCCAAAACGACGTTCCTTAGTTTACCTAGGCAACTTGACACATCATAAAACAGCTTTTATATCGTCATGAATAAACCATTTTATATTTCAATATTTACTGAATTTCATTTCTGCTTACAATAAAACATGACAAGGCTTATCTTATCTAGGATTGGTTTGTCATCTATGGRTGTATTATTCCGTGCCTTGAATCGCAGAATTGATAGAATCCTTCGAGTACCATGACTAGCATAAAGTCAAATCAGTCAAAGTGGCGCTATAAAAACACATGGTATCATAGAGAAATATTTTTTACGATTTGCGTTTTAATGAMAGTATTTTAAAATTTGCTCGTTCTAATCACGCCTTCATTATATATAAGTGAGAAAAAATTTAAAGAAAATAAATTTGAATAAAGATATCGTATGAGGCAGCTCTGAGAGGMGAGTGCCGGAAGACTTCCGTCATTCAAAACGAAGGACAAGTAGCTGGTTAGTTTCGTTCAGTCCCTTWKTTGCTGTCTTAGAATGTGCTTTCTCTTGTAATTGAATAGTATAATGAGTAAGAATTAATGTTTAATGAGCGTGTGCACAAAGAAGTGATCGGCATAGTAAACAGTGAAACACTAACTTTTTGAAGAGGACGACATGCTGAAATCTACACGCACGGATATCATTTTTATTCGAATAACAACAGTAYATAATGAATAGCATGGCCTTTAAAGTGATCACAATTTCTTGTATTTTACATTGATTTCCCCTCGGTAATTGTTCATAAAATCCACCCAAAATACCGTGAATTCAAGATCAAAGCCGCCTTGCTTTTCAACACTTACAAAGGATAAGTTTTTTAAACGCTTTAGCGTAAAACCGGCTCATTGTCCCGTAGCAGAGAGGATGCAATGCTAGCGTGAAGTACATCATAAGATAGAGATAGCTACGTACTATCAACATRGACTTGAACCATTTAAAGCTTCTTGTTATCTCCAGAATATAGAAAATATTGGCAGGCAGGTAGAAGAGGATAAAGATAAGTACGATCATGTAGAACATCTTTGTAAGATCACCCTCTTGGTCGAGTAAAACATTTACTTCAGGTCGAGTATTTGGTTCTTCTTGAGCTCTGATCACATTTTGTTGTATTGGTATCATATGGTGAAGGCTTGGAGGAGACGAGTTCCTATGCGCGTCAAGGTTGTAGTCTGTAACTCTTGTGTTGGATTGAGTTGAGTTGACCCTTGGCCTAGCGTTCTTGATTATTGAATGGACCTGTTTCTTTATGTTTATAGTTACAGCGCCGTATGACAATATCATGATAAACACTGGAATACCATAAATAAGAACTATGCGAGCTATGTAGTAATGCTGGATCATTACTGAGAACCAAGAGCTTTCGTCTGCTTCAATGCAGAACACAACTCTTTTTGTATATCGGGTCGTTTGTTTGTATAGAACGTACATTGGGCTACAAGCAGCGAAAGCATAAAGCCAAATAGCACCGATTATTAGCCAAACACCTCTCTTTGTTGCTGGGAAGTTCAAACCTACTCCTGAAACGACTTGGTAGCGACGGACAGATATCACAGCAATTGTTGTAGTGACAACAGTCAAAGACGTTTGACTAAGGGGTAGAAGAAGGCGACAGAAGAAATCACCGAAGATCCAAGTACCCAGCTCTGAGTATGTTACCAAAAATGGCGTACAAAGGGTAGTGATAAGCTCACCAACTGCTAAATTTGTCACCAAATAATAAACAAACGGTTTGCCGCGTTTTCCAAGTATCGCTTTGATCACTACTGTGTTACCCACGAGTGAGGCAAAAAGGACAATCCCAGTTATAATGAGTCTAAATACCTTCAAAGGCTCTGGTTCTACATAAAAATAACGACGAATGTTTGTAGCTCCACAAGTATTGTTCGTACATGATGACGAGTTGTTGAAACCTGCCGACGACATGCCTGGTTCCTTTAGCGTGTTCTCTATGCAAGGGTTACTATCATGTSGACGGTCTTCTAAACACGTGTATTGGCGATCTAATATRTCTTCAATAGCCTACGGGAACTCGGCGCCAAGTTGACAATGAATGGATGAACTGAAGTAATGAATTTTGATGATTTTCCAAAGGCCTGYRTGAAACAACAACGCGTTCTATGTAAAGTGACCCTTCGCTAATTGTTCAAACACGCATCCGGTGTTCAAGGAAATCTTTCAGCATGAGTTTCAATTTCGCCCTGATGTACACACTACCATCTCATTCATAGCTGGGTTTAATATTAACYACTGGTTTAGTGGGCAAGGCCTGGTATGTCGTCACAACCAACCTCTTGACTTTACTCTGCTAACACGAGGTGAGTTCAATTATCTTGGTCACTTTCCATCGCCGAACGAAATAAAAACATCACAATGTCACTGAATGGTCTATTTGAACTGTAACAGGTGCAGTGCTAAAGGGTTTAATATGCATACCGTAATTCATATTAMCAACAGACTTACTGATAGCTAAAAATACATATCCTTCAATCAACGTAACCATGACTACAAAACAAAAGTCATTGCTATGTAGGATGATTATGACCTTAAAAAGATACCTTTTATTCCTTTCAAATAACAAAAAAGGTTAAATAACAGTTTTATGACTTTTGCTTTCTATTTGTTGTACTACGAACACAGGTGGGMAACACCTTCTATTCGATTTTGACAATTTGCTGGTTTTCGTTGGTATTAAGGTGTTTAGAAAGGATCATGAAAAGTACATAAATATGTATAAACTGTTTGGCTCATGCAATGATTACCATCGAAACCATATCGTATTTTATATCTCTTTCATTATTAGCTTCTCAGAAAGTTGTTCTTTACGCTGTTTCTGCCAGAAAACTTGCGCTTAAAGCCGTACATTTGAAGTCTGAGCTCAATTCGTGATTTCAGGAGCAATAGTTTGCATAGGGTTTGTATATCCATTGATGACATGTTTTTCTCAAACATCATTAAACTCACATAAATTACAATCTCCTTTTGTCGATTCACATAACAAAAGTAAAATTTTCTGGTTGATTTGAAAGTAATTTGCAGTGAATAAAGAGCTCGTTGGTCTTTCGTGCAGCCAGAGCCATTAAAAATTTGACGCATACTTTCTATGTTTACTTAAATGAAACACGACCAAAACAAACGTGCTTTTTTTCAATTTTAATCAGAAAAGAATACGATAAGACCAAACTCGACAACTAGGAATTGACTCCAATTGCCTTAACCGCATCCAATTTATCTTGTGTCGGGGAAATGACGCATAATACCCACCATTGTCGACGAACCATCTCCGGTCGATATGACGTCATTACCTAGGACTATCCCTAATTACATAGCGTTTTTGACATAGTAAAAGCATGGAATACTGTTTCAAAATAGAYCTTAATGCTGATTTGGTATATGACGCCAATGTCGTATAATTAGAAGAGTTACCCATGGAGGGTTTTGACTTTCGGGGCATTTCATTGCTTCCGTTATTTCGTGCACTTCGAATTCATCACTGACAGAAATTAATCAAAATTGATTTTTTTCTTTACAATACTAGTACAATATACAAATATATAGGTGTTTTGCGRAAAAAGCCAGCCTGACATTACTCTATCAGTTCTTAGTCGGTATCTAGAGTCGGTCAGTGATAGTGAGACAGATCACGCGTCTGGCAATTTTCGTCATGATTTTAGTGCYAYTGATTTTTAGCTYAGTGTCAGTAATACTTACATTACTCATCCTATTTTCTAAATTATTTTTAGAAATGAGATGCTCGAAATGAGAGCCAGAAACCTTTTTAATTAGCTTATCTCCCTTTATGGAAAAGTGCATTTCTCATACTAGTACTTTTTTTAATGCATTTCCTTTGTTTTCTCCTGAAAGTCGTCGAGGGAAASGTTTTATCTGACGCGGCCGGTTTTGACTCATTAGAGCACCAGACAGTAAAAAAAAAACAAGCTCTTCCTTATCTCCTCTTTGCACAGTTTTTCTCCAGGGTCTTGTTGTCGGATTATCTATCGGTTTCATCAAAAAAGTGATCAGAAAACACTGTTAGGCCGGTAATATGGTATTTTCTAAGTTAACTTCCTCGAATCTATTTTTAAGTTTAAGTAAAAAAGAAGGATTTTTTTCTTTCGATTACTGTAAGCATACGAATATTAGTTGCAGCATTCCCATGCCTAACAGTCGACTTAAATCAAGGCGTTTTCTCGCATAGCAAAAACTATAAATTATGTCACGGTAATATGTTCTTCAATATGTTCTTCATAAAAACAATCTATATAGCTGGTTTACGAGACAAATGGTCAGTAGACTTTTTGACATTCTCCTGAGAATTCTGCCTCAGTGGTTTTCAAATATAATGCGTTTGGTGACATCGGTCTCTTTCGTTGTTGTTTCTTCATTTGACTAGTCTATCTTCATTCCGGTGTTGAGACTTTTATCTTTGAAACAGTTTACAAAGGTCTCTTGGTGCCTCTCTTCAGTTATCTATTTTATTCATTAGCAATCCATTCATACTTGGAGTGACATCATTCATTCCTCTACACTTTAGTTTATTTATACTCCAAAAAAAAATAAACACTTTCATGCTGATCTTATTTATCGTCTTTATTATTGATACCTTTTTTGACTGAAGGCTGATTGATATTGTTAGAATTATTCATAGATACACTTAAAAGTCAACAATGTTTTTTTCTCCTTCAATCTACGCTAACATGAAAGTTCCCGCTCTGTTGTTAGCACTCTTGATGGAAARGCTACTATATCCTACAAATATTGATGATGGAATTATAGATTCAGAAAGCAAATAGCGAATGTGTGTTAGCGACAAGAGACTCTTCAAGTTTTGATATTGTCGTAGTTTTTTACCAAGTCTCAATGAGGCCTATGCAGTATTAACTTTTGAATCACTTCAAACGCATCTCAAAACGAAATGCTTTTAATTGATACTTGATGATTAATCAAACTCTGAGTATTTCTATTGGAGATATGAGGTGAATGTTTTTCATAACAATACCTAGACTTTTGATATGCGATTGTGCCGATTAGAGGACTTTTTGACAAAAGTCTGTTCGGATATCCTTCAGTTTCAACAACTTCCACTTCACTCGACTCACCAAACGTTTTATATTCCCTGACAGCTGCAAGTAAAACTGAGATGACCATAAATATCCTCCTTGAAAATATGGGTTTCCTGTGCTAAAACAACCACAGGAAGCCCAAGAGAAGTAAAACAAGGTTACTGAAATGGTCCCTTTACTACTTATGTTTTCCGTTTGCAATATTGAATTAGTGTCAAGTGTGATAAAATTTGACACAGTCGCAATACAACAAAGAATATTATCGTTGAAAGTTCTKTCAGATGCGGTCTTCCTGTTCCTGGTGATTCTCAAAAGAGCTGCATGTGCGATGTTTAGATTTTGTGGGCGATTTCAAATAAGCTAATATCATCATATATATATCAATTTATTTGTTGAATCAAAAATAAACAATAACAGAAAGTAAGATTAACTTTAGGTTCGTTCTACCTGGGGTCCGGCTTGATCATCAGATAAATGCTATTTTCCTGCAAAAAAGAGTTGACCCAGACGTAAACACGCAAACTGSTCGCAAATTTTTGTTATACATAAACATAAAAATAGAAATAGTAATGTGAGAYTTCGGCCTCCGCCTTGCTGTCTATCTGGTACAGACAGTTTCTCTGAAAAAAAAAACAGGAAGGAGATCTTTTGCAATACTCAGTAGTGGCATGAGTGAACACACCTTACTGTGACATCGTGACATGCTTGTGTTTAAATAAATTACGAGAATATAATGCAATCTTTGGATACACTGCCAATTCCAATGCAATAGTCGGTCTTAAAAACGCTCTTGTAAATTGTATTGCRTTATTAGCGTGACCAACGGCGTGACTATGTAAATYCCTTT